ATAACTATAATGTCAGTTGACATTGCATATACGTAAGAAAGCTATACCAGTTTGATTGAAACACAGTGATTTTCTTGTGCGTTTCACTCTCACAACACCATTTTTTAAAAAAGGGATCTGGGGGTGATCCTGGAATTTTCAGGCCACGTAGCTTAACATATGTCTCAGGAAAACTGGTGGAAAGTATCGTTAAAGATAAAATAACCAAGCACATAAAAGAACAAGCCTTGCACAGCCAGCATGGCTTTTCCAAGGAAAGCTCATGTCTCACAAACCTATTCGAGTTCTTTGAGAGTGTCAACAAGGGTTTAGATTGAGGTGATCTGGTTGACACAGTGTGCTTGGACTTCCAAAAAGCTTTCGATAAGGTACCATCCCAAACACTCGTGAATAAGCTTAGCCATCATGGAATAAGAGGAGAGGTCCTTTTGTGGATCAGTAACTGGTTAAGTCTTTGTCCATGGAGTTTTCTTGGCAGGGATACTGGAGTGACTTGCTGGTTCCTGCTCCAGGTGGATCACGTTTGGTCAAAACTCTCCACTATGACCTGTCCATCTTGGGTGGCCCTGCACGGCATAGCAAATAGCTTCTCTGAGTTATTCAAGACCTAGACAGCATCTTAAAAAGTAGAGACATCACCTTGCCAACAAAGGTCCGTATAGTTCAAGCTCTGGTTTTCCCAGTAGTGATGTAGGGAAGTGAGAGATGGACCATAAAGAAGGCTGATTGCCAAAGAATGGATGCTTTTGAATTCTGGTGCTGGAGGAGACTCGTGAGAGTCCCATGGACTGCAAGAAGATCAAACCTCTCCATTCTGAAGGAAATCAGCCCTGAGTGCTCACTGGAAGGACGGATCCTGAAGCTGAGGCTCCAAGACTTTGGCCACCTCATGAGAAGAGAAGACTCCCTGGAAAAGACCCTGATGTTGGGAAAGATGGAGGGCGCAAGGAGAAGGGGATGACGGAGGACGAGGTGGTGGGACAGTGTTCTCGAAGCTACCAGCGTGAGTTTGACCAAAGTGCGGGAGGCAGTGGAAGACAGGAGTGCCTGGCGTGCTCTGATCCAGGGGGTCACGTAGAGTCGGACACGACTAAACGACTAAACAACAACAAATGGTTTAAGAGAAAACTATATGAAAATGTTATATAGATGGTATCTAGCACCGAATAAACTGGCAAGTGTATAAATCAAAATCGAGTAAGTGCTGGAAATGCAAAGAGCACTTTCTATCATATGTGGTGGTCTTGCAGTAAAGTTAAAGCTTCCTGGGAAATGATATATAATGAATTGAAAAAGATGTTTAAAGTAACATTTGTATAAAAAAAACACGCCCAGCAGCCTTTCTCTTGGGAATTATAGGGACAGAACTAGCTAAACAGTATAGAAATCTATTCATGTATGTGACTATAGCGGCAAGAATATTTTTTGCCCCAAAATGGAAACAAGAAGTCCCGACGGAAGATGAATGAATACAAAAACTTATGGACCATGCTAAAATGGCGAAACTTACCAGAAAAATAAGAATTCAAAATAACAAACTTTTTATAAAAGAATGGAAATGGTTTATTGAATATGTACACATAAATTGTAAACAGATAAGGACATTGGCAGGATTATTGTAAAATGTATTTCATAAGCGTTTCATAACAGTAAATACTTAAAGTAGATGAATAAAAGATTAAGTTAGTTTAGAATATGCAGGAAACAATAAAAACCTTTTTTATTTTTTAACAGTTTATTCTTATGTTACATCTGTATACATTCTCATATTACATTGCATATCTTATTACAGCAAAACTTCCAACATGTATATATACAAAATTTATATACCTAAAAAGAAAAACACAACACTATTCCCAGATCATATATGTACCAACACCACAGACTTCCTGTCAATCACTTTTTTTTACAAGTGAATGTACTCTTATTATTGTATATTTCTTTGCATTTTATCTAATACATTCGTATATCAAATTGTACCCTTAATCTTATTTCTCAATTCAATTTCTCTCCAACGTCAATCAAATGCCAGCATAGATAGTGAACCTTCACTGTATTTTTGAACATCTATCTTATATCTATCCCATTTTCCCAAAAATTTAAGGAACTGCAGAAAGAGGAGGAAGGAAGTCAAGATTTGAAATGTTAAAATGACTGGCAAACTATTGAAATGTATATAACTGAAGATCATATAAAATAAAATAAAATAAAATAAAATAAAATAAAATAAAATAAAATAAATAAAGTGGGCAGAGAAAAGTTTTTATCATTCTCTTCTAAGACTGCATCTCGTGGATATCCACTGAAGCTGAAAGCTGAAAGATTCAGAACAGATAAAAAGAAGCTCTTCTCCATGCAGCGAATAATTAAACAGTGGAACTCCCTGCCACAGCAGGCAGCAGCAGGACACAACAGGAATGGCTTTGGAAGAGATTGGGCAGAGAAGGCCTTTGATAATATGTCATGGAATTTTATGAAAAAGAATTTGGAGTTAATGGATATGGGACAATCTTTTCTCAAGGGTATAGGAGCTACCTGTATATATTCAGAACAGAAAGCTAGATTAATAGCGAATAATGTATTAACAGATAACTCTGAAATTACAAAAAGAACAAGACAGGGGTGTCCGTTGTCACCACTATTATTTATAACAGTCCTTGAAGTCGAGAAATATAAGAGTGAATGAAAATGTAAAAGGAATTAGAGTTGGATCCAAAGAATATAAATCGAAAAGCGTTTGCTGACGATTTAGTAATAACGGTAGCAGAACCCCTGTCCAGTGAACCTAAAGCACTGGACAGGATTGAGGAATTTGGACAAGTAGCCGGTTTTAGACTTACAGGTGAAACTCGGAAAATTATAATATTGTGGAAAAGTTCATTTATTTCAGTAATTCAACTTAAAAGGTGAAACTAATATATGAGATAGACTCATGACATGCAAAGCGAGATATGTCAAGCCTTTATTTGTTATAATTGTGATGATCATGGCGTACAGCTGATGAAAACCCCAAATTAACAATCTCAGAAAATTGGAATATTAAATGAAATCAGCAAAACGAGGATTGCAAATAGAGCAATACTGGACCTCTGAGAAGTAGAAGCATGCATATGTACTCAGTACTTGGTCTGGGCCCCTTTGCATCAATTACTGCCTCAATGCGGCGTGGCATGGGTGCTATCAGCCTGTGGCACTGCTGAGGTGTTATGGAAGACCAGGATGCTTCCATAGCAGCCTTCAGCTCTTCTGCATTTCTCGGTCTCATGTCTCTCATCTTTCTCTTGGCAGTGCCCCATAGATTCTCTATGGGGTTCAGGTCAGATGAGTTTGCTGGCCAATCAAGCACAGTAATCCCATGAGCACTGAACCAGGTTTTGGTACTTTGGGCAGTGTGGGCAGGTGCCAAAGTCCTGCTGGAAAATGAAGTCAGCATCCCTATAAAGCTCATCTGTGGAAGGAAGCATGAAGTGCTCCAAAATCTGCGTTGACCCTGGACTTAAGGAAGCACAGTGGACCAACACCAACTGATGACATGGCTCCCCAAATCAACACAGACTGTGGAAACCTCACACTGGACTTCAAGCATTGGGCATTGTGTGCCTCCCCATTCTTCCTCCAGACTCTGGGTCCTTGGTTTCCAAATGAGATGCCAAAGCTGCTCTCATCAGAAAAGAGATTTGCTCTATTTGCAGTCCTTATTTTGCTGATTTCATTTAATATTCTAATCATCACAATTATAACAAATTAAGGCTTGACATATCTCGCTTTGCATGTCATGAGTCTATCTCATATATTGTTGTTGTTTAGTCGTTTAGTTGTGTCCGACTCTTCGTGACCCCTGGACCAGAGCACGCCAGGCACTCCTGTCTTCCACTGCCTCCCGCAGTTTGGTCAAACTCATGCTGGTAGCTTTGAGAACACTGTCCCACCATCTCCTCCTCCGTCGTCCCCTTTTCCTTGTGCCCTCCATCTTTCCCAACATCAGGGTCTTTTCCAGGGAGTCTTCTCTTCTCATGAGGTGGCCAAAGGCTTGGAGCCTCAGCTTCAGGATCTGTCCTTCCAGTGAGCACTCAGGGCTGGTTTCCTTCAGAATGGAGAGGTTTGATCTTCTTGCAGTCCATGGGACTCTCCAGAGTCTCCTCCAGCACCAGAATTCAAAAGCATCCATTCTTCGGCCATCAGCCTTCTTGAGGGTCCAGCTCTCACCTTTTGAGCTGAATTACTGAAAGAAATGAACTTTCCCACAATATTCTAATTTCCCGAGTTTCACCTGTAGTAAAACAAAAACGAAGATGTTAGTTAAAAAAACAAACAAAGTGGGACAACTCCATGGAGAAGGAGAGTGCAATAAGCATCTGCTAGCCATGATGGCTCTGCACTGTCAAAGGCACTAACGCTTCTGAACACCAGTTCGAATCCTGCTGGGGGGACGACTTCCTATGGGGAGAAACTGGCTGGCCAATGTGCAAATGATGATGGGTTCAAGGCGCCAGCCGCCTGATCCAACAGGACTCTTCTTCTTCTTCCTGTGTGCCTTAAGGGTCTCCCTCTGCTTTTTTGCCCCCCTCCCAACACTGTAAGGGGGTGGCAGCACCCCACCCTAGTCTCCCTGGATTTCAGCTGCCCCCACCGCCTTGGCTCCTTTAAGAATGCAGCTGTTCTCTCTTCTCATTGTCTCCAATGGCAGCCAATCAGGGATTCCGCTGGTCGAGGGGGGGTGCGCTGCTCTGATTGGCTATGACGCATCCCTTACTCCCCCCCACCCCCCTTCCACCTTGATCTCTCCCTCCCTCCCTCCCTCCCTCCGCAGCCCCCTCCCCTCCCCGGGTCGCTGTCCACTGGCCTGGGTGCTGAATTCTCCAAACCAGCCCTGCCCCGTCCGTGGCGAGACCCCCCCAGCCAGAGCCCGGGGGCTCTCAGACACCCACCCACCCACCTACCTATCCACCCACCCAATCCGGAGCATTGCAAAGGGGCGCTGGCGCTGCCTGGGAGCCGCGATGAGCGGAGGGGTCTACGGAGGAGGTAAAGGCTGGGTTGCCATCGGCGTCGCAGCTGCTTGGCTTGGGGAGGGGGTCCCGGCAGCCCCCACCCCACCAGTTCTGGGCCCTGCATGCATTTGGTCGCGGGGCACGCCCGGGGAGACCCTTCGCTGCCAGCATCCCGGTCTTCTTGCACCCCAGCAACAGCTGCATTCCTGCACTTGGCTAGGGCGGCTGGAGAGGGTGTTGCGCCCGCGCGCCCACCCTGCTCATCGCTCCGAGCTGGGGGCTCCCTCCCAGCCAGCCAGTAGGGCAGGGAAACTGCGGAACTCACCCCCACAAGAAGCAGCGGGGACCACCAAGCCGGGAAAGGGGGGAAATTCACGGAGGAGAAGCCTAGCGGCGGCTACCGGCTGCAAGGAGCGGAGAGATGCGCTCTTGCGCGCAAATCCTTGCTTGCTGGTTTGGCCAATGAGGCATCCGGTTGGCCACTGGGAGAAGAGGATGTTGGGCTAGGGGGGCCGCCGGCCTGATCCAGCAGCCTCGAGGGTCCTTGTGCATAGTCCAACTCAGGTGCCAACCTGGTCTTGAGTCAGATCCATCTCTTTTTTTATTGTCCCTGCTGAATGTGACTTGGCTCGCTTCTTTGAGCCGCCTGATTCCTTGGGTGTAAGTGCTGACCAGAGCCAGGGACCTCTAAACTGTGATTATTCATGGACCTTAAGGTCCTCTGCTGGGCAGACCAGGAGAGGCGGTCCCGTAAATACGAGGACCCTAAGCCATTAAGGCGCAGGCCCTGTTGTTCAATTTCTAAACTCCAAGGTCAATAATTATTCATTTTTTCTTGTTACAAAATTGTAAACACATAAATCATAAAACGTGACATGACTATTCATATGTGTCCCTAGGGGGGCAAAATAGTAAATATATTACTTAGTAAATAGTAAATATATATAATAAATATATTACTTTAGATCACGTAATAATGAGATGGTTACAGTAAACCAGTTAAATGAGCTCTTCAGTAAATCAACTTTGAAAACGCAGAATAATAGGAGCGAGATAAAGAGTATTGCGTGTTTAACCACGCCATATTGCGATATATATTGTAGGTCTTTTTCATCAGTGTGCTGTTTCATTTGCATATTTAATAAACTCACACCATAAAATGCAAAATGTAACACATTTATCTCTCTTGCCTTGCCACCCTAAATTATTGTGACAACATTTCCAGCATGGCTATTTACTAGACAATGTTAAACCAGCGATCAATATTCATCAATTGCTATTCCTTTTCTAGCAGCTGTTAATCAATGTGTTACTAATTCCTTCTTAATTGGTCCATATCTGAAGTATATAAATCAAATAAGGCTAATGTTAGGGTTATCCGGATTGTCTGAGCTGTAACCGGAGATATCTCTTTAAAAAACAGCCTTCCAAAATTGTTCTATTTGCGGGCATTCCCACCACATATGCTCATATGTACCTATAACTTGGCATCCCTTCCCAACATAACAAGACATCATTGGGCTGCAAATATGATAGGCACCTCAGTGTTAAACACCATCCATGCACAGCTTTTAGTGAACGTTCCCTAGTACAGTGGTACCTTGGTTCTCAAATGCTTTGGTTCTCAAACTCCGAAAAGTGAGTGTTCTGGTTTTCAAACGTTTTTTGGAAGCCAAACGTCCGATGTGGCTGTTGGCTATTGTTTCCAGGGTGCCTGCACCAATCAGAAGCTGTGCCTTGTTTTTCGAACATTTCGGAAGTCAAACGGACTTAAGTTTGGCTCTTTTGTTTTTGCTATTTATTTTGCATTTTTGTTTTTGAGGCTTTTTCAGTTAATTTGTTTTTGTGACTGTGTGGAACCCAGTTCAGCTACTGATTGATTGATTGTGTGACTGCGGAAATGGATAAAAGCCCCCCATCCAAACAGTGACTATCATCAGTGTAGGGAAGAATAAAATTAAATTTTCATTTTTATCATCTACAATACTGTCTTACTTATTTTATAGTACAGTGCATTGATTATTGCTTCCATTTTATAGATCAGTGGTCTCGTTAGATTAATTAAAGCCATTAATGTTAAATGGCTATTTTAGGGGTTGTTAAAAGTCTGGAATGGATCAATCCGTTTTGCATTACTTTCTATGGGAAAGCGCGCCTTGGTTTTGGAACACGCTTTGGTTTCAGAATGGACTTCTGGAACGGATTAAGTTTGAGAGCCAAGGTACCACCGTAGTTGCTGGCACAGATTTGTACAGTGCATAAATTGTTCCATTTATCCTATTCCCCCCCCCCATGATAATTTTTATTAAGTTTTCCATTTTTAAAATATTCACATTTTGTTACATAATTCCATATCCGAATACATTGCTCTAACAGAGCACCAACCCCTCCCTCTTTCTGACTTCCATACATCTTACTAAATTCTTAGCATTTCTTTGATCACTTTTTTACCTTCAATATTTCACCTTCTTATTGGTAAATCAGTTCCATATTTATCCTAATCAGTGTTTATTATCCCCATTGGGCACAGAAAAGATAGCAAACTGGGAACTTTACAAGTCTCCATGGGGGGGGTGGCATGTCACAAATTCCTCCCCAAATCCCTGAATTTAACCTTTGTTTCCTCCGTAGATGAGGTTGGAGCTCTGGTCTTCGACATCGGCTCGTTCTCAGTCCGGGCTGGCTATGCTGGCGAAGACTGCCCTAAGGTACAATGCCCGGGGGCACCCCAAAATATCCAACCCCTTCAGCCTCCCCCTCCCTCCTTTAACCCTTTCCCTTCTTCTATTTGTCCCCATGTCAGTTTCAGTTTAAGGGACACGGGTGGCGCTGTGGGTTAAACCACAGAGCCTAGGGCTTGCCGATCCGAAGGTCGGTGGTTCGAATCCCCGCAATGGGGTGAGCTCCCGTGACTCGGTCCCGGCTCCTGCCAACCTAGCAGTTCGAAAGCACACCAGTGCAAGTAGATAAATAGGTACCGCTCTGGCGGGAAGGTAAACGGCATTTCCGTGCGCTGCTCTGGTTCGCCAGAAGTGGCTTAGTTATGCTGGCCACATGACCCAGAAGCTGTACGCCGGCTCCCTCGGCCAATAAAGTGAGATGAGTGCCGCAACCCCAGAGTCGGCCACGACTTGAGCTAATGGTCAGGGGTCCCTTTACCTTTACAGTTTCAGTTTATTGGTTAACTTTTCTAGTAGGGCTGTTTCCCATACTATTTGGTACCATTGGTCCAGGCTTACTCCTGACAGGTCTCTCCAGTGTCTGGTTATGGTGCTTCTGGCTGCTGAAAGTAGGTGGGTTATGAGTTCTTTGTGTTGTAAGTGGGCATTGTTGTCTTGGAAGATGTTTAGTAAGGCCAATTCTGGGGTGATGTCTAATACTTGCTTGGTTATTTTACTTATTTCTCGTACGGTTGTTGTCCAGAATGGTTGGATTTGGGGGCACTCCCGCCACATGTGGAGGTATGTGCCTGTGGAGGTGAATGCTCTCTTTACCCCTTTGCAAAAAATGAGTGGATTTGACGCATTTTGGGACTGAATATTGGGAAAGTATTGGTAGAATTGGGATGCGGGTGGCGCTGTGGGTTAAACCACAGAGTCTAGGACTTGCCGATCAGAAGGTCGGTGGTTCGAATCCCCACGACGGGGTGAGCTCCCGTTGCTCGGTCCCTGCTCCTGCCAACCTAGCAGTTCAAAAGCACGTCAAAGTGCAAGTAGATAAGTAGGTACCGCTCTGGCGGGAAGGTAAACGGCATTTCCGTGCGCTGCTCTGGTTCGCCAGAAACGGCTTAGTTATGCTGGCCACATGACCCAGAAGCTGTACGCCGGCTCCCTCGGCCAATAAAGCGAGATGAGCGCCACAACCCCAGAGTCGGCCACGACTGGACCTAATGGTCAGGGGTCCCTTTACCTTTACCTATTGGTAGAATTGCTGGGTGCCATCCTAGAGCGAATATTCAGAATAAATTTTTGGTACGGGGAAACTAGAAATCCTTTTTATCTCTTTTTCCTTTTCCTTTCTCTCTCCGCCCCCCACCCCAGAATCTATTCCTCTCTTCCTTATTATTACTTTCTTTTTTTAAAAAAAAATTGCTTTTATCGAAAGATTTCCATGCATTATTACAAAGGTACAAATAGGGTCTCCATTTTCGGTTTGCAGAATCTTTCCTGCAGGTCAGTTACCAAAGGCATTGTGAGCTTGGGGTGGGGGGGAGAAAGGGGGAGAGAAAGGGGGTGTGCCTGCATGGAGTTTTGTGCAAGCATTTATTCCTTTATTTCCTTTCTCTCTCTGTCTCTTGTTTTCCTTGGCGTCTTCTGCTCTGGGTCTTTATTAGGATTATTGGTAAGGGACCTTGGGTGACAGGCAGGGAAGCGAAGACCTCCCAGGTCAGGAGGCCAGGAGAAGAAAACGCAGACCCTCCCAGTATCCCTATTTTCAGGGACGCCCCTGATTTAGAGAAGCCGTCCTGATTTCTGATTTGACCCTGAAAATGCCCCACTTTTCCTAGGACACCCCTATTTTTCATTGGAGAAACGTTGGAGGGTATGGTCATCTGACTCCCGAGCCGTCCTGTATAGTCAATCCTATAATAGCAGGCATGGCCAGACCCGACCCTCCAGTGGTTTTGGGACTACAACTCCCATCATCCCTAGCTAGCAGGACCAGCGATCATGGATGATGGGAATTGTAGTCCCAAAACAGCTGGAGGGCCAAATTTGGCCATGCCTGCTGTATAGGGAAGGGTTGTTTTTTTTTAAAATACTTAATGTTTTATTATTATTTTTTGTTGCTGTATTGTTTTTAACACTCGATTGGGAGCTGCCCAGAGTGGCTGGGGAAACTCAGCCAGATGGGCGGGGTATAAATAAATTATTATTATTATTGTTGTTGTTGTTGTTGTTGAGTCGTTTAGTTGTGTCCGCCTCTTCGTGACCCCCTGGACCAGAGCACGCCAGGCCCTCCTGTCTTCCACTGCCTCCCGCAGTTTGGTCAAACTCATGCTGGTAGCTTTGAGAACACTGTCCCACCATCTTGTCCTCTGTCGTCCCCTTCTCCTTGGGCCCTCCATCTTTCCCAACATCAGGGTCTTTTCCAAGGAGTCTTCTCTTCTCAAGATGATGATGATGATGATGATTAATGTTGGAAGCTGCCTAGAGTGGCTGGGACTACCCAGTAAGACGTGTGCAGGGTATAAATAGTAAAATTATCATGATGGAATGGGATGTCTCTATTTTTACCGGAGAAGGTGTGAAAAGGGCGGTCCCAGGTGAGACCCCATTTCTGTGGGAAATAAGAGTTAAGAGCTACCTTTGAGAGAAGGCTCTGCATTTTCTTTTCTCTTTCTGTTTTTGTTTAGTTTATTATTGTTTTATGAAACCAATAATAATAATAATAATAATAATAATAATAATAATAATAATTTATTATGTATACCCTGCCCATCTGGCTGGGTTTCCCCAGCCACTCTGGGCGGCTTCCAACAAAACACTAAAGTACAATAACCTATTAAACATTAAAAGCTTCCCCAAACAGGGCTGCCTTCAGATGTCTTCTAAAAGCCTGGTAGTTGTTTTTCTCTTTGACATCTGGTGGGAGGGAGTTCCACAGGGCGGGCGCCACCACCAAGAAGGCCCTCTGCCTGGTTCCCTGTAACTTGGCTTCTCGCAGCGATGGAACCGCCAGAAGGCCTTAGGCACTGGACCTCATAAAATCAAATTTTATGGAAAAAGGGAGGGTGGCTGGAGGGGTGACGCTCCGCCCCCCCTCAAACCCACCCCACCTCTCTCTTTGCAGGCAGATTTCCCCACCACTGTGGGGCTACTCTCTCACGACGAATCGGCGATGGAGCTGGATGGAGACAAGGAGAAAAAATCCGGGAAGGTCTATTATATCGACACCAACTCCTTGCACGTCCCCCGGGAGAACACGGAGGTCATCTCGCCCCTCAAGAACGGAATGAGTATGGGGCATGGCAGCTATGGGGAGGGCGAAGGGTTTGGGGAGGGGTCCTTGACGTGGCACACGAACCAGGCCATTGGAACAATTGGCCTGGATGCTCTACAATACCCAGAGTTCAGGACAGAGCGAGGGAAGTCCCTCTTCCTGCAGGTTAATCTTTGGAACTCCCCGCCACTGGAGGCCACCAACCTGGCTGGCTTTGAAAGAGAAATTTGTGGCAGGGGAGAGGGCTATCCATTGAAGTAATGCTTCTGAGTACCAGTTGTTGGAAACCACAGGAAGGGTGTGTGTGGGTCTTGTGTTCGAATCCTGCTTGCTAGTTTCGCAGAATGGGCATCTGGTTGGCTTCTGTGAGGTGATGGACCAGACGGGCCACTGGCCTGATTCAGCCGCCTCTTATTATGGTCTTATGTTTAGTTGGGATAATTTATAGGAATGGGGGAAGGATTTCAATTCAGCTCATGTTTAAAGGCAAATCTATCCTCTCACTCTAAAAATAAATAAAATAAAACTAGCCTTTGGAATCTGCAAGTCCTGTATTTTGCAATCTGCTTCTCCAACCGGCCAGCGGTTACAAAAATGCATAGCTTAGGGGAAAGGACTATATTAGTGAAAAACCACCTGCAGATATTTGTTATGTTAGGGGAAATTGTTTCAGAAAATGCGTACATTACTCAAAACCGCATACAAATACGGTGAATGGGTTTGTTAGGAGAAATTCGCCCTTAATTCCAGGCGAATTTTCCTGAGCACATTTTCCTTTGAACAGTTGCAAATTGAAGTAGAAAATCTTCGCGGCTGAATTTAAGGTTGGTAGAAATGAGAAACTGAGAGTGTGGAGACTGGCCAATCTTTCTACCCCTGTTTGGGAGTCGCTGAAACAGGGGTGAAACTGGTTTAAGTGCACAACAATTTGTCCCCGCTTTTGCTCTTCTGCACTGCAGAATCTGTACCTCTTAGCCGTGAAGATCCCCCCCCCCCCCATAAAAGCCCACCTTCCCCATAAACATCAAGACGTCGCCAGGCAGGCAGCTTCAGTTGAGCTGCACCCCAGTGCATTGGAGTTACTTGGAAACCGCTAATGTGCATTGAAGTGCATTGCCTGGCTATTCCTTTAACAGCCACAGGTGACGCTATTCCCCCACTAAACTGCACTGTAACGTCTGATTCAGTGGATGGCGCCCTCTAGTGGGAAGTCCCTGAAACGACGGAGAACTGTTGAAAAGGGTGTTGTTGGCGGGTCCATTCCTGACACTGTCCGAATTCTCCTTTCTACCCCAGTTGAAGACTGGGACTGCTTCCAAGCCATTCTGGACCACACCTACAACAAACACATCAAATCGGAGCCGAACCTCCACCCGGTGCTTATGTCTGAGGCCCCGGTACGTATCCTGCAATGCCCTGCTCCCCCAAATCAAAGAATCGTAGAGTTGGAAGGGACCCCCAAAGTCATCTAGACCATCCCCCTGGAATGCAGGAATCCCAGCTGCATAAATCCCCTGCTCTTGTGCGACGTGAAGCAGCCTGCCTCTGTTTCCTTTATGCTTTGCCCCCTCCCCTCTCTTGCAGTGGAACACGAGGGCCAAGCGTGAGAAGCTGACGGAACTGATGTTCGAGCATTATAGCATCCCGGCGTTCTTCCTCTGCAAGACGGCCGTCCTCACCGCGTATCCTAACGGGAAGCGAGGCTCGGTCGCTTTACCTCCCCGCCTGAGCCCAACAACAAGACAGATTACTCTTCCAGCCCCTCTCTGCTACTCCAAAATATCCAGTGGCGGGCAGTTCCAACAGTTAACAACTTCTTCTTCTTCTTCTTCTTCTTCTTCTTCTTCTTCTTCTTTCAGTTATACCTCGGGTTACAGACGTTTCAGGTTGCGTTTTTTCGGGTTACGGACGCGCCAAAACCTGGAAGTACCAGAAGGGGTTACTTTGGCAGTCGCGCATGCGCAGAAGCGCTAAATTGTGCTTTGCAAAAGCACCGAATCGCAACCCGCGCATGTGCAGACGCAACGCTGCGGGTTGCGAACGTGCCTCCCGCACGGATCACATTCGCAACCCAAGCGTCCATTGTATTATTAAAAGGGGCGCGGGTGGCGCTGTGGTCTAAACCACTGAGCCTCTTGGGCTTGGCAATCAGAAGGTCGGCGGTTCGAATCCCCGCGATGAGGTGAGCTCCCGTTGCTCGGTCCCTGCTCCTGCCAACCTAGCAGTTCGAAAGCACATCAAAGTGCAAGTAGATAAATAGGTACCGCTCCAGCGGGAAGGTAAACGGCGTTTCCGTGCGCTGCTCTGGTTCGGCAGAAGCGGCTTAGTCATGCTGGCCACATGACCGGGAAGCTGTACGCCGGCTCCCTCGGCCAATAAAGTGAGGCGAGCGCCGCAACCCCAGAGTCGTTGGCGACTGGATTTAACTGTCAGGGGTCCTTTACCTTTACTTATTATAATTATTATTATTATTATTATTATTATCCCCCTTCCTGAAATCAAGGGTGCAAAAATTCGCGCAGTAGCAGCTGTCCAATATTCCAGGCAGAGAATCTTTTGAACCTGCGACCTTCTGCATGCAAAGTAGTTCTCCTCCCCCCAAAAAAACCCCAACCCACACAGTTTGACTTGCTGAAGCCTTAACTCCCGACCCCCAGTTTTGCAAACGGACGGAGCACTGGACTTGTTCTGGACAGTGGAGCTACACACACGACCGCCATCCCAGTTCATGACGGTTACATCCTGCAACAAGGTCGGAGAAGGGATATCTTTTTTTTTTTTGTGATTTTATTTTTGTAGCTGTACGTTTTTTAGGAAAAGCTTTTTAAAAGTTGCATTTGTCGGCATATGACACCTGTGCTCAGAGATCTGCCCTGCTTGCCTGTTTGCTACCAGGCAAGTTCAGGGTGTTGTTATTGTTATGCAAAGCCCTTAACAACTTGGAACCAGTTTACCTGTCTAAAGGGCCTTATCCGTACTGGGTTTCCCCAGCCACTCTGGGGAACAAAGTATAAAAACACAGTAAGACATCAAGCATTAAAAGCTTCCCTAAGCAGGGCTGCCTTCAGGTGTCTTCTAAAAGTCAGATAGTTGTTTATTTCCTTGACATCTGATGGGAGGGCGCCACTACCGAGAAGGCCCTGTGCCTGGTTCCCTATAACATCACTTCTCGCAGGGAGGGAACTGCCAGAAGGCCCTCGGAGCTGGACCTCAGTGTCCGGGCCGAACAATGGAGGTGGAGACACTCCTTCAGGTCTACTGGGCCTTTGAGGCTGTTTAGGGCTTTCAAGGTCAGCACCAACACTTTGCATTGTGCTTGGAAACATACTGGGAGCCAATGTAGGTCTTTCAGGACCAGTGTTATGTGGTCTCGGCGGCCGCCCCCAGTCACCAGTCTAGCTACTGCATTCTGGATTAGTTGCAGTTTCCGGGTCATCTTCAAAGGTAGCCCCACGTAGAGCGCATGGCAGTAGACCTGTTACTATTAATAAGAGTAACGATATTAATAAGGGTGGGTTGAAAAGGAGTGATGCATGAGCGCAAAGGATTCTGGGAGGCGGAAGTCCAGACCTCTTGGGTCTGGAGAAACAGCGAGGTGGTTCTGTGGTCTGGGAAGAGGATACAGAGAGGAGGGGATGGAAGAAGAGCCAAGGGGTCGTGATCCGCAGGAACAGGAAGCTCACAGCTCTCCTCCTCGCTTCATTCCTTCCTTCTTTCCCTCCCTCCCTTCCCCTTTCAGGAATCGTGAAATCCCCTCTGGCTGGAGACTTCATCTCCATGCAGTGCCGGGAACTTTTCCAGGAGATGAACATCGAGATCGTCCCTCCCTACATGATCGCTGCCAAGGTGGTATTGCCCCCTTCCTGTTCCGTCACTAACCAGAGTCGGGGACGGGGACCCAGGGCTTAGCTGCGGCATCCACTTGGCTTTGAGAAGGCTCCTTGGTGCACAATTCCTGTCAGTGTCCCCAGGACGCAGGAGAGCAGGAAATGGAGGCATTGGCGAGGTGACGGGGGCAGAGACCAAGTAGTCCTAAACAAGGCACCAACTTGAGGAAGCCTGGCTTATAAATTTATAAGTATACGGGTTACAAACCTCGTGCACCCTGGAGTGAAACTTTAGGCCCTGATCTAGACCAGAGGAAAGAATCCTGCCTTAGAAATCAATTTTGCTTGCTCTCTCACTAAGAACAAACCAGCCTCTCCGATGAGGAGCTCTGTGTATCTTTAAAGCTTGCACCTATCCAAATTTGTCCAGTTAAAAGAGTTCCTCCTTTGTTAACGGAGAAATCTGAGGGCTCCCTTGGACAAAAAACAAGGACCCCAGCCAGGAATACCAGAGCAAAACAGCAGCCAGTCGGCTTGGTCTTGATTGAAGACTGTCGCCACAGGACTCCCACCTGCCACCGGGTGGAACAAGATGGAAGCCCTGAAAAAAAGGGAACCCAAACTTTTATTAGCTGCTAATCCCCATGTTACACCCCCCCAAACTACATCACTATTACATCACGGTTACATCATGAAAGGGGAGATCTGGTGGCAGTAATCTGAGCATCCTGGACCCTGCCCCATGGTTCCCCTTGTCCTCCACCAAACACCCATCAAGTGTAAAAAGAGATCTTTACATTTCCCTGTTTCCCAGCCAAGTTAATCCCACCCTTTTGTCTTCATCTGGGTTTGTTATTTCTGGAATGGCTACCTGTCTGGCACTCAGGTATCAGGAGGCCAGGGATTATCACTCAGGCAGAGGGGCTGCTGAGTAGCTGAGCGCACAGGTCTAGACGAGTTTCCGAAGTTTTCCCAGTGAGCCAGTACAGAGATACATTGATCAGTGAATTCTTACATTTGGTATCGTGCAGCAAAAGCCCTTTGAGTAGGCAAGAAGAAACTGTGAAGTGTTTTGTGGGGACAAATCACAAAAGTCACAAAAGTGATTGTGCTGATTTTGGTAGTGGGCTGCAGGTGCAGGATATCTGCTGGAGGGGCAAACCCCCCCCCAACCTATACATAAATTCCTGCAACACCTTCCACTTGGCTTATGCAGGTAAAATAAGACTTAGGGTCAAGGCTCATGGAAGTGCTCGTCTAACACTTAAAGTCATTGAATTGTAGAGTTGGAAGGGACCCCCAAAGGTCATCTATCCCAACCCCCTTCAACACAAGAATCACAGCTTTAAAAATCCCTGACAGATGGTTATCCGACCTCTGCTTAATAAACCCCCTTCCTCTGTCAAACGGCTCTTACCCTCAGAAAGTTCTTCCCAACGTTTAGTCAGAATCTCTTTCCTTGTCATTTGAATCTGTTGGTCAGGCGTGCATCTTCGTCTTCTTCGTTCAGACAAGCAACCTTCCCAGTTTAAAAAGCCCTGAGCTCCCAACTGGTTGTGGGATGTTATCATCACTGAAGCAGTCAAATACAACATTTCCTGTCGCCTACAGTGGACTCTGTTGTAAATCTGCCCTTATTCCCTTATACAGTGGTGCCTCGCAAGACGAAATTAATTCGTTCCGCGAGTTTTTTCGTCTAGCGGATTTTTCGTCTTGCGAAGCACGGTGTCGGAAAAGTTTTGGAAAAGCTTCAAAAATCACCAAAAACCTCAAAAAAGGCTACCACACCGCGTTCTATGAGTTGCTCCTCAAAGTCAAGTCGCAACTGTATTAACGGTGTTAAGAAAAAGGAAACAAACTTGCAAGACGTTTCCGTCTTGTGAAGCAAGCCCATAGGGAATTTCGTCTTGCGAAGCAGCTCAAAAAACGCAAAACCCTTTCGTCTAGCGAGTTTTTCGTCTTGTGAGGCATTCGTCTTGCGGGGCACCACTGTAGAGTCCTTTGCAGGTTAGGAGAAAAGAACAGAGGCCAACTAGAAAATATTGAGAAGCAAAGCAGCTCGTAAGCCTGATCTTTATTGAACTGTTGCGACAGGGTGCTCCCCTTACACGCAGGAAAGGAGGAGGACCCAGAGCCAAGGTGTGCCTGCCCTTATATAGACATTTTAAATTGCTCGCCCTGGAGTCCAAGACCACCCCCAGAAACATCATACATACATCACAGAAGGGGTGTAGCTCAAGACCACCCCCCAAATACATCATACGTACATCACAGAAAGGGTGGTCTACAGCAGAAATCTGAGTGCGTTGTTTACCTCCTGTCTGGCAGGTTACCTGTTAATGATCACTTGATTGGATACCCTGGGGAGCCTGGCCAGTCTTTTGTAATGACAAATACTTCGTTCCTGAGCCAGGTCACAGGCTCACCCTATTCATACACAGATATACCCTTAAGACAGGATTTGTGAAGGAAAAGACAATGGGGAGGTTTTCCCATTTTCCTTCGCCCTTGCAGAGAAATCATTTGGTCAGTTTGGGAATCAAAAATGGTTTCAGGGCTGTTTTCCTGAGCTGCTTCAGACATGTGGTTTATATATTTATGTACGTGTTTGCTTAGTACATTTATGAACATTTATTTTATATATAAGACCTTACATTTTTTATTTCACAAACTTGCCCTGTCTTCCATGGGGCAGCCCTTAAGATAAAAAAAACCAGTCATGAATAAAAGTCTGCCAACTCCCATATATATATATATATATATATATATATATATATATATTCAACATATCATTTTCAACAATAATTAAACGTACTTTTACATCTTATACAATTTTCGACTTCCATCAATCACATCTGAAAATTTTCCAATCTCTTCACTTAATTTACATGTCTTATTTTCACTATTACTTTTAAATCTATAATACCTCTTTTCTTTCTCTTCTTCGCAATATTTCATATATTTCTCCTTACGAAACTTCCTGTAGTCCTACTAGCGTAACTTGTTGATTACAGTTGCTCTTCAAATAATTCGTATATTTCTTCCAGTCTTCTGTAAATCTTTGGTCCCGCAGGTTTCGAATCCTTCCTGTCATTTTATCCAGTTCTGCGCAGTCCCTTAATTTTGTCTGCCATTCTTCTTTCGTCGGTAGCCAACTCCCTCTTTTTTTAATTCTCTCTCCCCAATTTGGTTCCCTGCAGGAGCCGGTCCGCGAAGGCGCACCCCCAAACTGGAAGAAGAAGGAAAAGTTGCCTCAAGTCAGCAAATCGTGGCACAATTACATGTGCAATGTAAGAGACCTCGCCGGACTCCGGGGTTCCTTGGGAGAAGACCGAGAGCTGGGGAGTCAGGACTCCTGGGTCCCTAGAGAGAGGGGTAGGGGGCACGATTCTGGGATCCGGGACGTCTGAGGGTGTGTGTGTGGGTTTGGGGAGCGGCAGGAGGTTTTAAGTGATGACAGCCTGTTGCCAAAAAAAAAGAGGACTTGCATGTCCGAAAGCTAGGACTAGGACCTGGGAGAACAGGGTTCAAATGAATAATATAAGCCATCTTTCTTTACTCCCTTGCTAAACCTTCAACCCTACCAGGAGGTCATCCAAGATTTCCAAGTCTCTGTGCTACAAGTTTCAGATTCTCCTTACGACGAACAGTGAGTAGCTGGGATGGGTTTGGTGACCGGGGTTTGTGTGTGTTGTGGGGCAGAGAGGGTGTAAATTTGGGTGTCCACCTCAGAGAATCCGTTGCCTCTGTCCAACTTGGCTGGGGCGACTCTTTCCTTTCATCATCATCATCATCATCATCATTTATTTGTTGTTGTTGAGTCGTTTAGTCGTGTCCGCCTCTTCGTGGCCCCCTGGACCAGAGCACGCCAGGCACTCCTGTCTTCCACTGCCTCCCGCAGTTTGGTCAAACTCATGCTGGTAGCTTCGAGAACACTGTCCCACCATCTCATCCTCCGTCGTCCCCTTCTCCTTGGGCCCTCCATCTTTCCCAACGTCAGGGTCTTTTCCAGGGAGTTTTCTCTTCTCATGAGGGGGCCAAAGTCTTGGAGCCTCAGCTTCAGGATCTGTCCTTCCAGTGAGCACTCAGGGCTGATTTCCCTAAGAATGGAGAGGTTGGATCTTCTTGCAGTCCATGGGACTCTCAAGAGTCTCCTCCAGCACCAGAATTCAAAAGCATCCATTCTTCGGCGATCAGCCTTCTTTATGGTCCAGCTCTCACTTCCATACATCACTACTGGGAAAACCAGAGCTTTAACTATACAGACCTTTGTCGGCAACCCATTCATTCATTCATTCACTCATTCATTCATTCATACCCTGCCCACCTGGCTTGGTTTCCCCAGCCACTCTGTGTGGCTCCCAACAGAATACTAATAATAATAATTTTGAAAAAGCGATAATGCTGTATTGTTTTTAACACTCGATTGGGAGCCGCCCAGAGTGGCTGGGGAAACTCAGCCAGATGGGCGGGGTATAAATAATAACTTATTATTAAACATCAAACATTAAAAAACTTCCCTAAACAGGGCTGCCTTCAGGAGTCTTCTAAAAGTCAGATGGTTGTTTATTTCCTTGACATCAGCTGGGAGGGCGTTCCACAGGGCGGGCGCCACCACCGAGAAGGCCCCCTGCCTGGTTCCCTGTAACTTCATTTCTCGCAGGGAGGGAACCGCCAAAAGGCCCTCAGAGCTGGACCTCACTGTCTGGGATGGATGATGGGGGTGGAGATGCTCCTTCAGGTCTACTGGGCCCTTGAGGCCATTTAGGGCTTTCAAGGTCAGCACCAACACTTTGAATTGCACTCGGAAACGTCCTGGGAGCCAATGCAGATCTCTCAGGACCGGTGTTATGTGGTCTCGGCAGCCGCTCCCAGTCACCAGTCTAGCTGCCGCATTCTGGATTAGTTGTAGTTTCTGTAGAATCGTTGTAGAGTTGTAAGGGACCCCCAAGAATCATCCAGCCCAACCCACTCCTGCAGGTCAGGAATGACACCGTTTCCTTGGTGGCCATGCTCCTCAAAATCTCCTCCATTTGACCTTTTGGGAACCGTCTTTGGCTGCTCCCGAGACTCAGAGGCCTCGGAATACTTATTTATTTATTCCGAAAAATTTACACACCGCCTTATCGCGAAAAGAGAACATCAGAGTGGTTTTTCCAAAAAAAGATGAAGCAAGAAGATTATGGAAGGTGAAAAAACATTATAAAGCTTTAAGGGGGGGGGAAGTAACGCTAGATTAAAACGTGCACAAGATTGCTAAATACATGGGTAAAGGTAAAGGGACCCCTGGCCATTAGGTCCAGTCGCGGACGACTCTGGGGTTGCAGCGCTCATCTCGCTTTACTGGCCGAGGGAGCCGGCGTACAGCTTCCGGGTCATGTGGCCAGCAGGACTAAGCTGCTTCTGGCGAACCAGAGCAGCGCACGGAAACGCCATTTACCTTCCCGCCGGAGCGGTGCCTATTTATCTACTTGCACTATGACGTGCTTTCGAACTGCTAGGTTGGCAGGAGCAGGGACCCAGCAATGGGAGCTCACCCCATTGCTGGGATTTGAACTGCCGACCTTATGGTCGGCAAGTCCTAGGCTCTGTGGTTTAACCCACAGCGCCACCCGTGTCCCTTTCCACACATGGGTAGGCTGGTCTAAATGGTAATGTTTTTAGCCAGAGCCAAAAGGAGTGCAGTGAAGATGCCTGCCCTTATATCAAGAGGCAGAGAGTTCCGAAGTGCAATAATTATTTTTATAAAGATGATTATACGACTGGCTGCCTAGCTAGCCGGCCATTGCTCCCTGTGAAGCATGTTGGAGCGAATTTACAATGCAGGAAGGAGCTCAGTAAAACAAATGTGGCATACAGTGCTCCCTTGGTTCTCAAACGCCTTGGTACTCAAACAACTTGGAACCCAAACACTGCAAACCTGGAAGGAAGTGTTCCGGTTTGCGAACTTTTTTCGGAAGCCAAACATGCTCTGTTTTGAGTGTTACGTTTCTGTTTTGAGTCTTACGCTGAGGTATGCCTGTTTTCGCTATTTATTTTGCGTTTTTGCTTTCGCGGCTCTTTTTGTTTTGGTTTTGTGACCGTGCGGAACCCGGTTCAGCTACTGATGGATTGATTGTGTGACTGCAGTACGTTGCTTATTGCTTTCATTTTATGGATCAATGGTCTCGTTAGCTAGTAAAGTTGCTGTTTTAGGGGTTGTTTTTAAAAAGTCTGGAACGGATTAATCCATTTTACATTGCTTTTTATGGGAAAGCGCACATTGGTTTTGGAACGCTTTGGTTTTGGAGCGGACTTCCGGAATGGATTAATTTTGAGAGCCAAGGTACCACTGCATTGAAAGTCAGAATATAGCTGACTCGCTCGTGTCAGGGGAAGGTTTAGATTTGAGGGAGGCAAAAGGACGGCAATTTGGGGGACAAAGTGGAGGTGACCCTTCAGTGCGGACGCTACAGGACAGAAATAGATTTGCATCACGATGGGGAGTCATGTTTCTCCTGTGGAAACTCAGCGAAAGTAAAAACGGGCAGCCAGGTAGCAAGAACGACAGAGTGTCCCGTGCTACTTGGGAGAGTGACGCAGCAGCTTCTTTCTTGGACTAAGCACCCAGTTTTCCAGATCTCACGAATCACAGACTCGTAGAATTGGAAGGGGTACCCGGTGGTCATCCAGTCCAACCCTCGAGCCTCAACTCATCAATTTGAACTCGGGTCCAGGAAAGATCATGTCGGCCATCCTTAACAAGGTGACCTCCATGGCTGAGGCTCATGGGAGTTGTAGTCCGAAGCAGCTGGAAGTAGCCAGGTTAGGGGAGGCTGGCTTATGGGGAACTCCCCCCCAAAAAACCCAATGAAATCAACAGTGAGAAACAACATAATAATGTAAGACTTTTGAAAAAGTTAAAAGAACAATAGGCAAAAAGAAATCCCAACAGATTGAAACTCGTGCCAGCTCAGTTGGTAGAGCAAGAGACTCACGAGACGCTTAACCTCAGGGTTGTGGGTTCGAGTCCCGCATTGGGCAAAAGCGGGTTGGACTAGATGACCCTTGGGTCCCTTTCAGCTCTACATTTCTGTGATGCTAAAGATCTGGACAGGCATGTCTAAACAACAATGTTTCCAGAAGGCGCTGAAATAGTGTGGCTTGCTCTATGGTTTTAACCCCTTCATGCATGCATTAGAGTTAAGCAAGCTGATTTATCCCACATCCAGGAGCAATGATGTGAAAGCAGAAGAGAGCTGTCATGGCTAATAGCTGTCAGAGCCATCTCCTCCTCCATGAATCTGTCCCAATCCCCTTTTAAAGCCATCCGAGTGGGTGGCCGTCACTGCGTACTGAGGCAAGGAGTTCCACAGTTCATCTGTGTGCTGTGTTATGAATGACTTTAAAAAAATCTTCCAACATTCATCTTCGTTGGATGTCCAGTGTTAGGAGAGAGGGAATAAAAATTCTCTCTATCCAAGCATGCTGTGCACAGGGCCGGATTTAGGTTAGATGAGGCCCTAATCCCCACGACGGGGTGAGCTCCCGTTGCTCAGTCCCTGCTCCTGCCAACCTAGCAGTTCGAAAGCACGTCAAAGTGCAAGTAGATCAATAGGTACCACTCCGGCAGGAAGGTAAACGGCGTTTCCGTGCGCTGCTCTGGTTCGCCAGAAGCGGATTAGTCACGCTGTCCACATGACCCGGAAGCTGTACGCCAGCTCCCTCGGCCAGTAAAGCGAGATGGTCACCGCAACCCCAGAGTCAGCCACGACTGGACCTAATGGTCAGGGGTGCCTTTACCTTTAAGCTACTGAAGCTAATGGGGCCCTTTATATGTCCAGCTGTCCTTTGTTAACAACAAATTGTCGCTGTTTTTTCATGTTGAATATATGCTATATGGTCATTTATGGACCTAATAGGCACCGTATTTTTCGTGCTATAAGACGCACCAGACCACAAGACGCACCTAGTTTTTGGAGGAGGAAAACAAGGGGAAAAAAATATTCTGAATCTCAGAAGCCAGAACAGCAAGAGGGATCGCTGCGCAGTGAAAGCAGCAATCCCTCTTGCTGTTCTGGCTTCTGGGATCACTGCGCAGCCTGCATTCGCTCCATAAGATGCACACACATTTCCCCTTACTTTTTAGGAGGGAAAAAGTGAGTCTTGTAGAGCAAAAGATACGGTATCTAAAGCCATTTGCACGTAACAAATAGGAGCCTACACAACAGAAAACACTGTCGCTGTATGTCGGTTTTATTTTATTTGTTTTTTATCTTATATTTTGGAAATGTACATCCAGTTTATTTTCCTTTAAGTTTTTGGGGGGCCCCCAAGAGAGTGGGGCCCTAAGCTATAGCTTGTTTGTTGTTGTTTAGTCGTTTAGTGGTGTCCGCCTCTTCGTGGCCCCCTGGACCAGACCACGCCAGGCCCTCCTGTCTTCCACTGCCTCCCGCAGTTTGGTCAAACTCATGCTAGTAGCTTCGAAAACACTGTCCCACCATCTCGTCCTCTGTCGTCCCCTTCTCCTTGTGCCCTCCATCTTTCCCAACATCAGGGTCTTTTCCAGGGAGTCTTCTCTTCTCATGAGCTGGCCAAAGTCTTGGAGCCTCAGCTTCAGGATCTGTCCTTCCAGTGAGCACTCAGGGCTGATTTCCTTCAGAATGTAGAGGTTGGATCTTCTTGCAGTCCATGGGACTCTCAAGAGTCTCCTCCAGCACCAGAATTCAAAAGCATCCATTCTTTGGCGATCAGCCTTCTTTATGGTCCAGCTCTCACTTCCATACATCACTACTGGGAAAACCAGAGCTTTTACTATACGGACCTTTGTTGGCAAGGTGGTGCCTCTGTTTTTTAAGATGCTGTCTAGGTTTGTCATTGCATAGCTTGTTTAGCTTATACGTAAATCCGGCTGTGCCCTCGCCCTCTTGTCCCGAGCAGGGTAGCTGCGCAGATGCCCACCGTCCACTACGAAATGCCCAACGGCTACAACACAGACTACGGGGCGGAGAGGCTTCGTATCCCGGAGGGGCTTTTCGACCCCTCCAACGTGAAGGTGAGCGGGCAGGGGGCCAGACGATGAAATAAGGATCAAGGCAAGGGTGGGGAGTTTGCACCCGCTTCTACTGATTGATTTGCTTTCGAAAAATCGGCACACCTCTTGATTACAAAACAAAAAAACTCCTCAATGCACACAGAGGCTTGGAGCATGCGCAGAGTTCTGACTGATGAACGGCGCAATCCCAAACACAGTGACTCGGAAGCGATTACCATTGAAATCAAGGGGGGGTGTTTCTGCCCGGTAAGGGGGCGCAGGGAGGGGTGTAGCCTCAGAAAACATTTATTGCTTATTCAGAATTAAATTTATTTGTGGTGGTGTGTGCTGGAAATCAGAGCGGTTTGCAGAAAAGCGAAAAAGCAAGCTGCTAATTTGCACTAGGATTATCTGTAGTCAGAACTAACAACAATAATGTAGGGCTTTTGGAAAGTTAAAATAGATTAAAAACCACGTTGGCTTCCTAAACATCCAGACGGCCTCGCCTAAACAAATATGTTTTCAGCAGGCACCAGTGCTAGTAGGGTTGAAAGGGACACCCAAGGGCCATCTAGTCCAACCCCCTGCAATGCTGAAGAATCCCTGACAGATGGCCACCCAAGCTCTGCTTAAAAACCTCCAAGGAGGGAGAGTCCGCCACCTTCCGAAGAAATCTGTTTCACTGTCAAACGGTTCTTATCATGAGAAAGTTCTTCCTTATGTGTAGTCAGAATCTCCTTTCTTGTCACTTGAAGCCATGGGTTCGAGTCCTACCCTCTGGAGCAGGAGATAACAAGCTTGCTCCATCTACCCTGGGACATCCCTTCAGATATTCGGAGGTGGCGTTCCCAAAGCAAGGAAGGATTGGACTCTGATTAATAAAATACACAGAGGCTTGACCAGCAAGACTCTGGGAGGAGTGCGTATAATAATTCCCTCTCCACCCCTCGGCCCAGGTCGTTTTATTCACAAAAGAACGTTTTACACAGTGTTCGTAAGAACCAATCAGATTTCCTCTGAGCATTTCAAAAAATGGGACAAAGTTAAAAGTTAAAACTACAAAGAGCTAATTCCTACTTGAGCATGCATACGTAATTCAGAGTAAATAAAAGAGGAAGCAAGGAGGAATGCTTTTAGGAAACTCTGGAGGTCATAAACAGCAACAAACAGGAGAAGAAGGATAAGCAGTACCGTATTTTTCGGTCCATAACACGCACGTAGTTTTTAGAGGAGGAAAACAAGAAAAAAATATTCTAAACGAAACAGTGGAAGTATGATTTTTGTGGTTCATGCTGTGGCCACAGACATGTGATCTGACGGTGAGTTTGGGGTAGCCCAATGCAAAAATCCTGAGGATCCATGTGGATCCGTGCTTAAGTGGGAAGAGAAGGAAAAGCTCTCAAGGGACAAGGAGCACGCGTGGGGTGGGTGGAGAAGGATGTTGCTAATAATGCAGAAGAGGGGTATAAGGGGAGAAGGCTCCTCTCCTCTCCCGCTTTGCTCCTTTAAAGCAAGCAGGCTCTGCTTCCTCCTCCCCGGCTTAGCGAGCTGAAAAACTTTGCTGCTATTTAGCGAGCTGAGTGGGGAGGAGAGAGGGACAGAGAGCACGCTCACTTTAAAGCAGCCAACCAGACAGGAGCTGCTTACACCTGTGTAAGTGGCTCCTCTCCCGCTTTGCTGTTTCAAAGCGAGCCACGGAGGAGGGAAGGAAGGGGAACCATGGATCCTCTGCTCACGACTGCAGCAGATCCCCTCACCATCCGTAGGCATTCACTCCATAACACGCACAGACATTTCCCCTTACTTTCTAGGAGGAAAAAAGTGTGTGTTATGGAGCGAAAAATATGGTATTTACCATCTCCTTGTGAACGATTAGCAAACTACATTAAAGCTACCTTCTATCTTCATGACCCAGGGTGCCTGGTGAAGCAACTGGCCTGTGCTTCAGAATGCTTATACGTGCCTGTCAGGCGTAGAGAAAGCAATTGCCAGAGGTGGAGAGGCCTGTGGGATCTGATCAGAAATTATTGTCAATGAATCAAACCCAGTCAACGCAATGCTTTCATCGTGGACACAATGGCTTGATGCATATTTTATAATTCCTCATAGGAATCCCATCTGACCCCCACACTCTGGATATCTGCACTCCTACATTCAGAGGTGGCTATCCTACCCCATCTCAGTCTCCTCTTCCCCAACCTAAGCACCCCAAACTCCCTCAATCTCTGCCTCTCTCTCTAGGGCCTGTCTGGAAACACAATGTTGGGGGTTGGCCACGTGGTCACGACCAGCATCGGGATGTGCGACATCGATATCCGGCCAGTGAGTTGTCTCCCCTCACCTTAACTCTTCCCCCTCCTAGTAGGGGATGCGGGTGGTGATGTGGTCTGAACCACATCGGAAGGTCAGCGGTTCAAATCCCCGCGACGGGGTGAGCTCCCGTTGCTCGGTCCCAGCTCCTGCCAACCTAGCAGTTCGAAAGCACCAAGTGCAAGTAGATAAATAGGTACCACTGTGGCGGGAAGGTAAACAGTGTTTCCATGCATAGCTGTCAACCGTCCCTTATTTGGCAGGAAAGTCCCTTATCCCAGCGCCGTGTCCCGCTGCTGTCCCTTATTGATGATGTCCCTTAAATTTCCTGGGTTTCAAAGGAAGCAGCTCCTCTCCCTCCCTCCCTGCCTGCCAACCAGGGAGGAGGGACGCTCCAACTGTGTTGTTTGGCTGCGTTGCTCACCCAATAAGGAGTCTAAGAACGACTGGGGGTGGAGCTTGCATGCCTTGTGCCAATCAAATCGGCCGCGTTGCCTGGGGACTCGCCTTTGCTCAGCGCTTCCCAGCGGAGAGGCGACGGTGGTTTTCCTTGCTGCATCCCCTTTGCCGGGTTGCTGCGCTGTGGGAACCACCGCTTGAGGCTTCGTTTGGCTGCTGGCTGGGTTTTCAGCCTTTGGCTCGGAGGGGCTCAGAAGTCGAACATACCTGTGCCCTGAAAATCCCTTATTTTGGCTGCTGATCCCTTATTTTTGAGGCTGCTGGTCCCTTATTTTCAAATCTGTAAGTTGACAGCTATGTTTCCATGCGCTCTGGTTTCCGTCATAGTGTCCCATTGCGCCAGTAGCAGTTTAGTCCTGCTGGCCACATGACCCAGAAAACTGTCTGTGGACAAACGCCGGCTCCCTCGGCCAGTAAAGCGAGATGAGCGCTGCAACCCCATAGTCGCCTTTGACTGGACATAACCATCCAGGGGTCCTTTACCTTTCACCTTGCCCCCTGCTAGGGTTTCCGGTCTGGGGCCAAGTAGTTGTGGGTTTCTGAGGCAAAAGGAGCTGGCCAGGGAATGCACAAAACCAGCCCACCACCTTTATTTTGGCTTCGGTTCAGAACGCTTCCGGTATATTCTGCTGTTGCAAAAACAAAACAAAACCAAAAACATAGATAAAGGTAACGGGACCCCTGACCATTAGGTCCAGTCGCGGCCGACTCTGGGGTTGCGGCGCTCATCTCGCTTTACTGGCCAAGGGAGCCGGCGTACAGCTTCCGGGTCATGTGGCCAGCATGACTAAGCCGCTTCTGGTGAACCAGCGCTGTGCACGGAAACACCATTTACCTTCCCGCCGGAGTGGTACCTATTTATCTACTTGCACTGGTGTGCTTTCGAACTGCTAGGTTGGCAGGAGCAGAGACCGAGCAACGGGAGCTCAACCCGTCGCGGGGATTCGAACCACCGACCTTCCGATCGGCAAGTCCTAGGCTCTGTGGTTTAACCCACAGCGCCACCAGCGTCCCAACCGAAAACATAGAAAGGAGAATTCCTGGGTGCCGAGATTCAAGTTTAGGGCATGTACTTTTTCGTGGGGGAACCCGAGTAGATATTTATAGTCACAAAACATGCTGAATCAAAGCGAAGCATGGAAATATAGGCTGTCAGACCTTTCAGATATCCCCTCTCCCCTTAGCATGGGGGAAAAAAAGTGCTTTGCACAACCCCCAAAGAAAAATAATAAAGCAATAAAATTCAAAACAGCAAGTATGAATTGCGCATTTATTCAAAATCCAATTAAAACTCTTTAAGTTAATTCAACAAAATAGGCGGGCTGCCTCCAGTGACAGCCTTTTACGCTGTTAAGGGGGTTAATGTGGGGGAAATGGCAGGGGAGTTGTTGACCGGAGACCCACAACACGATGGTTGCAAATGGCAGATTCCTCCAAGTTAAAGGAATTCGAAGGTGGCCCCCCTCCCAAAAAAACGGCTCCTAATATAACACTTATCCTTTCTCTGAAGGGCCTCTATGGGAGTGTCATCGTCACAGGGGGAAACACTTTGCTGCAAGGCTTCACGGACCGCCTCAACCGGGAACTCTCTCAGAAAACGCCACCGGTGAGTTTCTGTGCGTAAGAGAGAGAGAGAATGAGGGACTTTGGGGTCACGCAGGGCTCTTCAGCAGGCAACATGGAGTCACAGAACCGCAGAGTCTGGTGGGACCCTGAAATATACTCAGAGTCGAGAGTGGATTTCATGCTCTTTATTCAGCTCATAGTGGTGAGGAGGAATGGAAGTTCCCCCCAGAATGTCTGCTTTATATACGTTATTTACACAATGGGCCCCACGTGATTGGCTAATTCTGGGATTCTCCTGTAGACCAATCAGGTTGCGGATTCACTTCCACCTGGAGCTGGATTGGGTGGCTCCTGCGGACCAATCAGACTGCTGCATTCTGAATCCTTTTGTTCTAGGACCAATCAGACTGCTGCATTTTGGACCCTATTGTTCTAGGACCAATCAGACTGCTGCATTTTGGACCCTATTGTTCTAGGACCAATCAGACTGCTGCATTCTGAATCCTATTGTTCTAGGACCAATCAGACCGCTGCATTCTGAATCCTATTGTTCTAGGACCAATCAGACTGCTGCATTCTGAATCCTATTGTTCTAGGACCAATCAGACTGCTGCATTCTGGACCCTATTGTTCTAGGACCAATCAGACTGCTGCATTCTGAATCCTATTGTTCTAGGACCAATCAGACTGCTGCATTCTGGACCCTATTGTTCTAGGACCAATCAGACTGCTGCATTCTGAATCCTATTCAACTCAGTACATAACAGACCCAAAGGGTCATCCAGCCTAAACCAAGTTCAGGGAGCGGGGAATGTTCTGGCCCATTCGGTTAAGAGGGGAGACTCCATGGTGTCGATTGCTTTTTGCTCAGAGATCTCACCTCGTATCGTATCGTAAAACCTTTATTGGCATCACATCCAAAACAAATCAATACAGAATTACCACGTCCCCAGTGGCACAAAACATTTGCTAAAAGAAAAAAGGAGGCAGAGCAGTCTATCGTCACATCTCTTGGTCTCCAGGGAAGTCAGACGTCTGCAGTGTATTTTGACGACAAAAAACCAAATAGAGATATTTAGCCACTAACTTGGTGAGCTCCTGATCGTTCCCCAGTAATAGAAAATGTATGACCTTTGACTCTGGTTTCCATTTGGGGATACAGAGTTGATCTATAAATTGCTGGCGGAGATCAGCGTATAGTTTACAATTGAGAACCATATGCTTAAGGGTTTCCGCCAGGTGGTCTTCACATGGGCAAGTTCTTTCTCCTTCCACCCTGTCTGAGAACCTTCCCCAAAGGAGGTCGGATGGATTTGAATTAAACCTGGCCAGCGAAAATGCCCTTCTTTCTTGAGGGTTAAGCAGAAATTCAAGCTAATTGTGGTTAGTTTCATGTGCCCAAGAAAGTTGAAAATAAAGAGGGGAACATGTTTTCTCTGCTGCTACTGTTAGTTCTTGGCGTTCAGTATCCCACAACCTAGTTTTTATTATAGCCTTGGCAGATGGTAGGGACATTGATCGCAAAAGTTCCACTGACAGCCCGAGTTGCTGTACCTTCTTGTTAAACTGTTGTAGTTGTCCAACTCTTTGTGACCCCCTGGACCAGAGCACGCCAGGCACTCCTGTCTTCCACTGCCTCCCGCAGTTTCGTCAAACTCATGCTGGTAGCTTCGAGAACACTGTCCCACCATCTTGTCCTCCGTCGTCCCCTTCTCCTTGCGCCCTCCATCTTTCCCAACATCAGGGTCTTTTCCAGGGAGTCTTCTCTTCTCATGAGGTGGCCAAAGTATTGGAGCCTCAGCTTCAGGATCTGTCCTTCCAGTGAGCACTCAGGGCTGATTTCCTTCCGAATGGAGAGGTTTGATCTTCTTGCAGTCCATGGGACTCTCAAGAGTCTCCTCCAGCACCGGAATCCAAAAGCATCCATTCTTCGGCGATCAGCCTTCTTTATGGTCCAGCTCTCACTTCCATACATCACTACTGGGAAAACCAGAGCTTTAACTATACGGACCTTTGCTGGCAAGGTGATGTCTCTGCTTTTTAAGATGCTGTCTAGGTTTGTCATTGCTTTTCTCTCAAGAAGCAGGCATCTTTTAATTTCGTGGCTGCTGTCACCATCTGCAGTGATCATGGAGCCCAAGAAAGTAAAATCTTCTACTTCTAACGCTACAGCCTATATCCACTTCCAAAGCTATCCTAAAGTTGATATTTTCAGGATGTTTAAATGAGCATTCTAAATTGTAAAACAGAAAATCTAATAAAAATTAGAGAGAGAGAGAGAGAGAGAGAGAGAGAGAAATATTTGGGGTCCTTAAGAGAGCCAAGATGGCTTCAGGATTGTTCTGCGTACTAAAACAAAGTGCCTGGTTTTTTCACTGAATATTTCCTAATTTTGAAGGATCGGCTGCCTGTGGCCTGCTATGTGTGCAGACCTTAGAACTGTTATAACACCGGTTAGTTTGCAGAGGGCAGGACAAGCCTGTTTTAACACCTGCCCAGCCAGATGAGCGGGGTATAAATAATAAATAATAATAATAATAATAATAATAATAATAATAATTATGCAAACCCCTCTTTTCTCTCTCCGCATTGTGCAGAGCATGCGCTTGAAGCTGATCGCCAGCAACAGCACCATGGAAAGGAGGTTCAGTCCTTGGATTGGGGGCTCCATCCTGGCCTCTCTCGTGAGTCTGGGGCCCTGGAGGCTGCCGTGGGTCAGAGGAAGAGGAGGGTGGGGAAAGGGGGAGGGAGGCTGGGAGCCAGGACTCCTGGGTTCTCTGGAGGACCTTCAGAGGCCCTAAGCACTGAAAAGATTTTGGTGCCCCCGTATATATTTAATTCAGAATATAAACAACAATGGACTGTAGAATAAAATTTTATTTTTCAAGATGAAACAAAACCGACAGTTTTGTATATCATTAATCACTATTATTCTTCCTTCCTTCCTTCCTTCCTTCCTTCCTCTTCCTTCCTTCCTTCCTCTTCCTTCCTTCCTCTTCCTTCCTTCCTTCCTTTCCCTTCCTTTATTTTTCTTTTTTTCTTTCTTTCCCTCCCTCCCTCCCTTCCTTCCTTTCCCTTCCTTTCTTTTTCTTTCTTTCTTTCTTTTCCTTCCTTCCTTCCTTCCTTTCCCTTCCTTTCTTTTTCTTTCTTTCTTTCTTTCTTTCTTTTCCTTCCTTCCTTCCTTCCTTCCTTCCTTCCTTCCTCCCTCCCTTTCTTTTTCTTTCTTTCTTTCTTTCTTTCTTTCTTTCTTTCTTTCTTTTCCTTCCTTCCTTCCTTCCTTCCTCCCTCCCTTTCTTTTTCTTTCTTTCTTTCTTTCTTTCTTTCTTTCTTTCTTTCTTTCTTTCTTTTTCTTTCTTTCCCTTCCTTCCTTCCTTTCTTTTTCTTTCTTTCTTTCTTTCTTTCTTTCTTTCTTTCTTTCTTTCCCTTCCTTCCTTCCTTCCTTCCTTCCTTCCTTCCTTTCTCTCTCTCTCTCTCTCTCTCTCTCTCCCTCATTTCATCTATTGTGGGGCCTTTGTTGGGGGGGGGGGAGAACCTGATTCAGCTGCTCCATATGGTCCATGGGTTAGGGTTAAGGTTAGGGGGCAGCTGCCCCAAACGCTACGCCCATGATATGGTCCATGGACATTTCCGAAAGCCTGGGCCACTCCCACTCCCAATGTGATTGGCTGTCTAAAGTTCCAAACTGCGAATCACGACTCAAGAGTTCAAGGGCCAATGGCAGAGGCCCAAATCCTGAAATGTTCTGTGATTGGATGATGTGTATCGAATCAGGAGCTCAGAATCCTTAGTCCAGAGACTCAAGCTCAGGCAAACACAGACCCACTGAATACATAACACCCCCTTCCTTTGATACCCCAAACAGGGGCTGCATTTTAAATTGCATTTTAACCGGTATTTTAAATTGGTTCCCCCCTCCCCATTATGTTTTTACTGTGATTTTATTGGTTTTAGTGCCCTGAGGGCAGGGTATAAATAAAATTTATTATTATTATTATTATTATTATTATTATTGCTCAGTGTCTAATCCAGCCTTGGGAACCGGGATCCAAGACGTGGACTAGGTGCCGGTGTGTGTAGCTCAGGGGTCTCTGAGTTTGGGGTTGGGGGCCTGGGAGGGAAGACCCGGACGCCTGGGTTTGTTTCCTCGTCTCCTTCCTCTCCTTCTCGTCCGCAGGGCACCTTCCAGCAGATGTGGATCTCCAAACAGGAATACGAGGAAGGGGGCAAACAGTGCGTGGAGAGGAAATGCCCCTGATTCGGGCGGGCAGCCCGCCTCCCCTTTTGCCCTCCCTCTCTCCCCACCCCCCCAGGAGACCCCCGCCTCGCGGATCCTGCAGCCCCTCCCAGCGACTCCCTCCCTTCGAAACGCACCCCAGACTTGCCCCTCTGCAACCGAGGCTCTTCGCCCTCTCGGCACCTTCTCCCCTCTCCAAAGAACTCGGGTGTCCTTCCGAACCCCCTGTTTGCCCCCCGCTCCTGAGAAGAACCCAGGAGTCCTGCGCCCACCGACGCTTGCGCCAACATCGGAGAACCCAGGAGACGAAGGAGGGCAGATTTCAAGTTGCTGGATCGCTGGAGAGACAGGAAGGAAGGCCTCTCCATCTCCTGCATCGCAGGGGGTTGGGATGGATGACCTTTGGGGGTCCCTCCCAGCGCTACAGTTCTCTTTGTCAAGGCAGAGGGGGGTTTGGAGGTCGTCTTCGGCGGGCGCCGTGCCTCTCCCCCTTCACCTCCCCTGTTGCTGTTTTATATGTAAACCTGGGTGGATCTATTTATTCGATGGACTGACATGGATTGACATTGATTATTCTCCTTTCATTTCATTTTATTTTTATTTTGGTGTCGGAAAAATAATAAACGTGTGAGGTTGTGTTTTTGTAAAAAAAAACAAACCAAAACCCTGTTATTCTCTTGCCTGTCACAGTAGTGTTTATGATATTTGGGGATTCCTTACAAACATCCTTTTTTACTCTGGTTCAGGAGGGTGGGACATGATCCTGCCTTCAGCTTGTGCCTGGGAAAGTTTTGTGGGGCGGGTGTCCCTTCCCAAACTGACGGTAAGACCCATTGATCACAAAAGAATCAGGTATCGCATTGTGTCTCCAGCAACGCAGCCCAGAGCGGCCGGCTGTGAACGATTCGTCTCGTCCCAGAGAATTCGGTGGGGTCACATCTTAGCCGCACACGAGCTTAAATCAGCTGTTCCCTCTTCCGAAGGGGATTAAGGGATCTCCGACGTAAAAATAAAAACCTTTCCGAACTACAACTCCCAGGATCCTTCCGCCGGAGCGGTTGAAAACCCCACGAAACCACGGCGTACACCGACAGGGCCTCTTCTCGCAAGCAAGCGAATATATAGCTTTTACAACAGAAATAAATCTGTTGTCTGCTTGCAGAGTTAAATAAATGGCGCCTGGGGCGAGACGGGTCCACATTGGCACCCTCAAGAAATGGCCCTATGCCATGGGGCTCTTGGGTTCATCCTCTCCAGATGGTTTTTGCTCCTGGTCGTCAGGCCTGCACGGATCCCGGCGCTGGCAGAGGGTGGCCTGGCCCACAAAGGTGCCTTTGACACATCCTTCGACTGCTGCCTTGAGCTGTGGAAAGAGCGAGAGAGGATGTCAAGAAGACCCCCCCCCAACTCAGCACCTGAGGGCTTCAGAAAGGGAGGCATCCCCCAGCCCTCCCTAACGACAGATCAATAGATAGCCTCCTCCATGTATTTGCCCTTTTGAAGCCATTCAGGTTAGTGGCCACTCCTGTGGCAGGGAGTTCCGCAGTTCCACCCTGCACTGGTTTCATCCGTCCTGAATCTCCGGCATTCAGGTCCGTTGGGCTAATTTCTGCACATCCCTCTTGACACGACACCCCCCTAAGTGCCCCTATTTTCCAGATTTACAGAAGCCGTCCCGCCATAGCTGTCACCTTACAGATTTGAAAATAAGGGACCAGCAGCCTCGAAAATAAGGGATCAGCAGCCAAAATAAGGGATTTTCTGGGCACAGGTATGTTCGACTTCTGAGCCCCTCCGAGCCAAAGGCAGAAAGCCCAGCCAGCAGCCAAACGAAGCCTCAAGCGGTGGTTCCCACAGCGCAGCAACCCGGCAAAGGGGACACAGCAAGGGAAACCACCGTCGCCTCTCCGCTGGGAAGCGCTGAGCAAAGGCGAGTCCCCAGGCAACGCGGCCGATTTGATCGGCACAAGGCATGCAAGCTCCACCCCCCAGTCGTTCTCAGACTCCTTATTGGGTGAGCAATGCAGCCAAGCAACACAGTTGGAGCCTCCCTCCTCCCTGGCCGGCAGGAGGGAGGGAGAGGAGCTGCTTCCTTTGAAACCCGGGAAATTTAAGGGACATCATCAATAAGGGACAGCAGCGGGGATAAGGGACTGTCCCGCCAAATAAGGGACGGTTGACAGCTATGCGTCCCACTTTCCGATCTGATCCTGGAACGCCCTGCTTTTCCTTAGAGCAGGCATAGGAAAATCGGCCCTCCAGATGTTTCGAGACTACAACTCCCATTAAGAATAATAATAATAAATTTTATTCATACCCGACCAGAGCCAGGCTCAGGGTGGCTAATGCCAGTAAAATTACAGTAAAAACATAATAGGATTTTTTTTAAAAAAAAATACAGGTTAAAATGCAATTTAAAATGCAGCCTCATTTTAAAAGTAGCCCATAGATCAAAACCATAACCACTGACCCTCTTAGCTAGGGATGATGGGAGTTGTAGTCCCAAAACATCTGGCGGGCCGAGTTTGCCTATGCCTGGCTTAGGGTGTCCCTGTTTAAATCAGATAAATGTTGGAGGGTACGTATGGAGTGATCCGACCCCAGAGAAATCTGAAGGTGGTTTTTAAAAAAATGTTTGATCATTACATTTTTATATACCATATTTTTCGCTCTATAAGGCGCACCATATATATGCTATATGGTCATTTATGGACCTAATAGGCACCGTATTTTTCGTGCTATAAGACGCACCAGACCATAAGATGCACCTAGTTTTTGGAGGAGAAAAACAAGAAAAAAATATTCTGAATCCCAGAAGCCAGAACAGCAAGAGGGATCGCTGCGCAGCGAAAGCAGCGATCCCTCTTGCTGTTCTGGCTTCTGGGATAGCTGCGCAGTCTGCATTCGCTCCATAAGACGCACACACGTTTCCCCTTACTTTTTAGGAGGGAAAAAGTGAGTCTTATAGAGCAAAAAATACGGTATGTTGGAAGTCACCCAGAGTGGCTGGGGAAACCCAGTCGGGTGGGCAGGGTAATAATATAAAAAAATATTATTGTAGAATACAACGTCCCTGTTTTCACTGGAGAGATGTTGGCGGGACTATGTTTCACCTGCTCTGAACCTCCCAACGCTCAGATTCATGGGATGGATTCCTGTGTTACGAGAGAGGGAGGTCTGTCCTCGCCCCTCTAGCGCAGGGGTCAGCAAACTTAATCGCGCCTCGGACCGGTGTCTCCAGCGCCAAACACCCATACACATGCGCACACACTATTTCCGGCGCACTTCCGGGTTGGAGGAGCACTGGAAATAGCGCTTTTGCATGTGCAAATAACGCACATACGCACAAGGTATTTCCGGTGCACATCCGACCCGGAAGCGGGCAGCGGCGGTAAGAGTGGGCAGCGGCAGCGGGCATCGCCACGGGCCAGATAAACGAGTCCCTTGGGCCTTATCCGGCCCGCGGGCCTTAGTTTGGGGACCCCTGCTCTAGCGTAAGCGGGATCCTCTGTCCTGTATCGCTGTGAACCCTCCAATCCGGACAGACACTTACCTCCTTGAGACTCACCACTCCAACCAAGCGCCCCATGTTGGTCACATAAGCCGTGCGGAGACCCAAGAGGTTGAAGAGGTCGTAGCACTGGAGGGGGTGGGCAGGAAAAATATTGAAATGGAAACACTTTTATTGTCGCTTGTACAGGGACGCGGGTGGCGTTGTGGGTTAAACCACAGAGTCGGGGACTTGCCGATCAGAAGGTCGGCCGTTTGAATCCCTGCAATGACGGGGTGAGCTCCCGTTGCTCGGTCCCTGCTCCTGCCAACCTAGCAGTTCGAAAGCACATCAAAGTGCAAGTAGATCAATAGGTACCACTCTGGCGGGAAGGTAAACGGCGTTTCCGTGCGCTGCTCTGGTTCGCCAGAAGCGGCTTAGTCATGCTGGCCACATGACCCGGAAGCTGTACGCCGGCTCCCTCGGCCAGTAAAGCGAGATGAGCGCCGCAACCCCAGAGTCAGCCACGACTGGACCTAATGGTCAGGGGTCCCTTTACCTTTACAACTTGTATACACTGAGATTACACGAGCACCCGCCACTCAGCTCTCTTAGTCTTAATTCGCCTCGTTTACTGACGCACACCCACCAAACCCGAAAGTCAGTTGCCCTGTTGTTATCTTTTCATTCAGCAGCCTAACAGCCCACAGATAGAAGCCGTTCTTTACCCTGTTGGCGCGACTAATCATGCTTCTATATATCTTCTGCCTGAGGGCAGGAGATCAAGAAAGTGCCGGCCAGGGTGCGAATCATCCCTGTGAATTTTCCTCGCTCAACCTGAGGTGTTATGTACTGAGTTCAATAGGATCTAAAATGCAGCAGTCTGATTGGCCGTAGAACAATAGGACCCAGAATGCAGCAGTCTGATTGGCCCTAGAACAATAGGATTCAGAATGCAGCAGTCTGATTGGCCCTAGAACAATAGGACCCAGAATGCAGCTGTCTGATTGGTCCACAGGAGCAATTGGTCCTAGAACAATAGGATCCAGAATGCAGCAGTCTGATTGGCCCTAGAACAATAGGACCCAGAATGCAGCTGTCTGATTGGTCCACAGGAGCAATTGGTCCTAGAACAATAGGATCCAGAATGCAGCAGTCTGATTGGCCCTAGAACAATAGGACCCAGAATGCAGCTGTCTGATTGGTCCACAGCAGCAATTGGTCCTAGAACAATAGGATTCAGAATGCAGCAGTCTGATTGGCCCTAGAACAAAAGGACCCAGAATGCAGCAGTCTGATTGGTCCACAGGAGCCACCCAATCCAGCTCCAGGTGGAAGTAAATCTGCAACCTGATTGGCCTACAGGTGAATCCCGGAATTAGCCAATCACGTGGGGCCCATTGTGTAAATAATGTATATAAAGCAGACATTCTGCAATGCGCCCCATTTCCCAGAGAAATAAGAATATGGCCGGGGGAGATCAGTGAGTTTGTGGACTGGAAGGTCCTGTTTCTTCACTTCCTGAATGAAT